CCCCAAAACCCCAAAACCCCAAAACCCCAAAACCCCGTTTTATTCAGAAAGATTGTATAATATTTTTAATTATGGGTGAGTAGGCGAGGAGTTAAGGAAGAGCAGGGGTACTCAAAACCCTCCTCATTCCTCTTCACAGCCCTTATCTCCTCTATTCTTCCAAACTTCTCTTCAAAATTAATTTCCTTCCTAATTTTTCATCTAACCAATTACCTGTAGAGAAAGAGGCACCCTCAAAATCCAAGAAATCTTTAGGGACGTCCAAGAGCCAGAACAATCTGTCTCTTGATGAGTTCAAGCACAAGATTATTAGCAGTATAACTTCTCACTTTGAAGCGTCTTTCTCGAAGAAATCTGAACTTGAAGAGTCGAAGCACGAAGAAGTTGTTCACGGAGGTATTTTGATGGGTTTAATTATAGATCTAAGTGTTGAAGAGATTAAAAAGGAAGAAAAAGATCAAAAGTAAGTTTAGGAGTGGAGATTTGAATGATTTGAGATATTTTAAGGGGTTTTAAACAGATTTTGGACCTGGGGTTGGATTTCATGAGTGTTTTAGTAATGATGCTGAGATGGGAAAAAGAGATAAGAAAGAAGAAGAAAAGAGGCTGGAAGTTGTGGAAGAGACAAAGGAAAAAGTTGTGTATCAGGAAGAGTATAAGAATGAGTGATTTGTGATCGAAAAAGTAGAAGAGGAGGAGCATCCAACTCCAAGGTTTCTTTCTTCGATTATTCTATATAGTAAAAATAAAAAGATTCGAGTAAATCAAGTGAAAATACTCACACTCAGACTCTTGGACCAGGAAAAGTCAAAAAGAGAGTTCATATTAATCCTCACCGACTTCTGGTTTTTCACTAGAGCCCATCCTCAACACCAAGTACAGGTCATTGGTAGCTTTAATGAGTATGTTTTATCTAACGTGTAGCGTGAATAACTTCCAATTGACTCTAAGATCTTCAAGAATAATACAAGAAGAAAATGCTGAATTCATTATATTAGAGCCAAAGATCATGATATCTTGCACTCAACTAACTGAAAACTATGCAAAAGCTCACAATAAAGACAAAACTCTCAGGATGGATAAGAAGGCATACAAAAACCCTGCCATTTATGGAAAAATCATTCACTTGCTATTCTCTGATCTGATCGGAACTAGAGCTAACGATAAAGCAATCTTTGGTAATTTTTATGAATAACTATAGACAAATTTATCCACCAAGCGATTGAAAAGCATTGATTAGAACTCTATAGTTATAAAATGGTAAGATTTAAGTCACTATTTCTTGGGAAATTGTATTACACTTGTCATTAGAAAATAACATTTTTGTTGAATTTTGGATACATCCTCTTAGCTAATTTCATCAGATAATAAGAAAGCGTTCTAGGAGATCTTCTTACTTTTGATAAAATATGTTTTAGGAATTTATTGAATCTTTGTGTACAACCTGGGATAGTTGGGAGAGATTTTGCATATACATCAACCACATTGTTATTGATTAGTTATATGAAACCATATTCGATACCAACAGGAGTGATTCTGTATTTTTCAATGCTATTAAAAAGCTCAGCTCGGTTTTTGAAGAAGATGAGGCAGAACTTTTCATTTGCAGTTCTGTTAAGCACTAAACCAAGAGAATCTACAAACATTAGGAAGCAATGTTTCCAGGATTTTGTTTTTAGAAACTAATCACAAGGACTCTACCATATTAATTTCTATTGAGTATTCATAATGTTTTCAGGCCAAAATCTATACTTGATTTCAAATTATTCAAAATAAGCAGAATATTTGATCTATTCTTTTACTATTTCCTTCTAAATTTAGGTGTTCTTTATCAAAGAGAAAAAATAAGTATGTTACAGCTTATTAGGGCTCATGCTAATTCTATCCTATGAGGCTATGACAGCTTAGATATACATTGAATTTTGAAGAAAGAAAAGAGTATTTGGTCACTCTAGAATTTAAGAGTAGAAGAGTTCTGAAATAATGTGCTTTGGTGGTTTATTTTTCAGGATTTAAATAAATTGATATTGTGTTATTCACAATATAAGAGTTCAAAATTTAGCAATCCCAAGATGATTTCCAGAAGCTCTAAATAAATCTCAAATTCGCAAACATGTTTATGAAGAAATGCAAGAAGATGAAGAATGCATAATTAAGAAGCTAAATGATGTCATTCAAGCTACACTAGATGTAATTCTTATGCTAACTCCTTAGTGGAAAAAGATATTTGAAGAAAGATACTTCAAGTACAATAAATATAAACTCAAGCTGATGGGCCAGATTGGATCTGAACAGGAAATTTACTCCACAAAGTTTGGACTCAAAGGAAAAATAGACTCAATCTGTGAATTCGAAGACTATGCCAAGAGAAAGGTTGTTTATGCAGTAGAGCTTAAGACTGGAGTTCATCAAAAGAACACATATCAAAACCAGGTTCTCTTGTATAGCCTACTGCTCAGAGAAACTTTTTCTAATGCTGCTGTAAACAACATGTTGGTTTATCTTCATGATGTTCAAAATACTCAACTGATATATTGGAGTCACAGAAATTTATCAAAGATAATCCAGCACAGGAACAAGATGGTGTCAAAAATTGTTCATCCGGCTAGAAGTATTGGTAAGACAGCCTACTCAACATTCTAGATACAGAAGAGAAGAAATCTCCAAAGGTAATTAGATCAGAATTTATCAGTAAATTTAGAGGAAACAAAAAGAATTGGAAGTCCAAGAACTAACCAACCTTTACAGGTACTATCCATCTCACTTTTATAGACGTGTTGTAGTATTTGACACTGGTTATTCTCTTCTGCACTGCAAGCCAGTGAAGGAAGGGTTTACATTAACTTTGTGTAAAGATGTGACTCAAGAAGTAAAATCTTCTGAGTTTAAGCCAATCCTTCCTCTAAAGTCTGAAGTAACCATCCGCCCTATGGGGTCTGAAATCGTATTCAGCATGGGAGTTCTAGAAAAAGTGAACTATAGCATTACCAATCTTGAAACAGAGGTAACTAAAAAGACTAAGATATCCTACAAAATTCCTAAACTAGAAGAAGAAGATAGCTGTGAGGTCAGGTACATCATCAAATATGAAGAACACCCTTACATGAACTCTAAAGTTGTCAATATGGAAAATAGCTCTGTTATCAAGGACTCAGAAGAATGGCAATACCAATTTGAAAAGGAGTATTATACTCAAGGTAGGGTTTTAGTCTCATAGGCTTTAGAAGACAAAGATAAGGAAGTTAATCTATAGAATAAGTTATCATTTCAATATGAAAAATTCTAAAAGGGGTTTTGGGGTTTTGGGGTTTTGGGG